ACCAGGTGGCTGTACAGAGGGGCGGGGTGGGGGTGTGTGTGCCTCCATTCAGGCCCCTCCCAAGCAAACCGGAAGTAAGTGACTGTGATTGGATGGGGGTGGCATACCTGGGCTACACAGTCTACACAGGCCCATCATGGCCTCAAACCACAGTCCCACCCCTTAGCCCTGGTTGTTCCAGCCACCCAGACATGACTCACGGGAAGGTAGAAGCAGCGAAGCAGAGAATGGAGATCAGGCCCAGGCTCACGCTGGCCTTGTCCCAGCCGTCCTGGACACACTCATGAAACACGTCCCATATCCACAGGATGGAGCCATTGGGACAGCTGGAGAAGTTGCTGGCACCCAGTTTCCTCCAGAGCATGGCTGCAGAAAGAGGGTCCTGGCCTGGGGGGACCACACAGGAGAGAAAGCGGACACTGGTGCACTGAGGCTGGCGAGGGTTCCTTCTAGAGAGAGAAAGAGAGCAGGCCTTCAGCTGTGGGAGGCCCAGCCCCTATTCACCGACCCCCTCCAACCTTAACCTAACCCAGCCCCATCACCTGGCCCTAACCAAGTGCCAGGACAAGAGAAAGATAAAAGACATGGTCCTTGGGCTGGGGATTTAGCTCAGTGGTTTCGCCGCCTGCTGCACAAGCAAAAGGACCCGAGTTCGATCCCCAGGACCAAAAAAATAAAAGACATAGTTTTTGCCAGTGGGGACACAACAGGCCTCCAGGCACACAGATCAAAGTAAGCACCTGCAACCACAAGCATACAGGGGGAGCCCAGAACCTGCAGTCAGGGACAGGAGCATTTGCACAAACATTGAGGTTGAATCCATTTTTTGCTGTTGTTATTGTGAATTACTCTGGGAGGGTGTGCAAAGCCAGGCCTGTCCAGTTCATGCTCTCATAAACTGCCCCACATGACAGTCACATGAGAATGAGAAGGTGATCCCCCCAGGGTTGCCCTGGCAGCTGGGATACAAGTTGAGGTTCTTGAGCCTGAATTCCCCAAGGAGCTCACATGGCCTGTGGGACGCCTACTGGGAAGGAATCCACAGTCACCTCCCAAGCCAAAATCCAGCTGAGTGGAGACACCTCCTCCCAGTGCCTGGGCACCCTGAAGAGAGAGCAGAGCAGTCACTGACGTGGGAGAGGGGGGCCTGGCTGGAGCCACCTCTGTATCGATGATAACCGCCACCACCCTGACACTTCAGCTCCTCCCCAGCTCCAGGCTGAGCACCTGGCATGGATTAATGCAGCCTGTCCTCCCCACTCGGGGAAGTGGGGACTACTGATACACCCAGCAGGGACCTGAGACCACCCGCAAGGATGTGCTCTGCCAGGGCTACCCCAACAGAAATCAAAAAGGTCATACCCAGGACCAAGACCTAGACCCCTGCTCAAAGCCACCACACTCCACTGCCCCAGGCGGTTTTGTCCCTGGGTGTGCAGAATCTCCTGTGGGTAAGGCATGGTTGCCCAGCTCCCGAAGAGCAAAAAGCTGGCTTCCCCTTTTCTTACTGTGCTAAGTAGCGGGGGTTTCCTCACCCAGGTGGTGGCTCCCTCTTGTACCTTCGTTCCCACTTCTGTCTGGAAGCCCTGCTCCTCATAAAGCAATGCCCTGGCTGGACCCATGGAACTGCTGAGGTCGCAGAGATCAGGGAGCCTCAGAAGAAGAGAGGAAGCAAGTCAGCTCCTTTTCTCAGGAAGTTGTAAGTCTCAGCCCTAACGTGACTGGCTGTGGGAGCTAGGGCCCAGGTCACTGTCTATCTGGCTCACTGTGGTACGGGGAGCCTGCACAGTGGGGGTGGAAAGGCTCTTCCTGGATCTCAGTGGCCCTCCTTGATGACCATCAGCATAGCTGATGCTGGAAGCATTTACCTGATGCCTTGTCACTGTCAGCTGCAAGGCTACCCTATACTAATACAGTCCAGGTTAGGAACTGCCTCTTTGTAATGCCAAAGGGATTTCAAACCAAGTCCTTTAATACAATCGCCCCCCCCCCAGACTGCCTTCCCCCACCCTCCTCTGGTAGATTCAGCCATCACATATCTGGACGCTGTCATCCTTACAACTTCCCAGCAGGGTAGAGGACACTGTCCCCATACACAGATGTGGTTGAGTGGCTTTGGTGAGCAATATAACCTATTGGAGCCTGTCTATAAAATGGAGCTAATGACACTCCATCCTTGGATGGCTGTGCTGACAAAGTGCACCTAAAACTCTCAGCCCAGTGTCCGACTTAATACTCGGCAGTGATTGTTATGAGAACGAAAACCCAGTACCTGGACCATTCTGGGGCTTCTCTCTCACTGGGGTAAGGAAGAAATGATGCGGACAGAGATTCTGGGTTCTTCAAGAATTCCAACACACACACCATGTACTTTGAGAAAGGCTGAGCTGGAAAGAGCCTCTCCATCCACACCCAACCCTTCTCCCGGACTCAAAGCAAAGCCAAAGAGGCATTTCCCACCAAAGCAGACCCACTGTCCACTTTAGCCTACTGGATAGAGTCCACATTCCTTGAGACAAGGCCCCAAGGCAACCCAAGAACTGACCTTCTAACTCTACCTCCTGCCCCGGGTCTGCAAAGAGTCATCTCAGAATCCCAGGTGTCTTCACACACTGTCTCTCCACCTAGAAATGTCCTTCTCCACACAGGGTCGGTTAAAGAGATACTATGACCCAGTTCTAAATGGCCCTCTCCAAGAGGTTTTGCAAAAAGCCAGCTGTATCTAACCTGTCACCTCCTCCCCTTCCCTGGACTATACACCTGAAGAAGGCTTATGAAGGTCCTCAGCAACCATTTGAACACCCACCTCTCCCCTCGCCGTGGTTATTCCTTTCCTGGTCTCAGCAGCTAGGCTTACCAGTAAAAGCTACACAGTAAAAGTTCAGAAAATATTGAGAGACAGAGCAACCGCAGGGAAGAAAAGAGAGAGAAGAAGAGAAAGAAAGTGAAAAGAGTGAAAGAAATTACAAGAAAAAGGAAAGGAAGACGAAAACTGAGCTCAAAGGGCCTAGGACTAAGGAGAAAAGTGAATCTGTCTGTCTAGCTGCTGGTCCAGCTGCTGGTCTAGAAATCCTGGGCAAGTGATGGAGCCCCAGCGTTCTGATCTGTAACTCGGGGGAAATAATGCAAGTGCCTACCTCCTAGGCTGAATGCAGGGCTCACTGAAATAACCCAGGCCACGCGATTTCAGTGGGGAACACTCACAGCAATATTCACGGAGGCTATGACAGTTCCTGCTGTAACTTCTCTCCCCTCCCCAGGGTCTCGGAAACACAGTATTCTTTGGTAAGTGTTGAATGGACAAGACTTGCCACCATGACCCTGGCCAGTCCTCACATATCTAAACCCACACTAGCCCTGCACTCTTGGCACCCTGCCCTACACTTGGCTTGGGCAGACCTGGGGAGAATGTGGCGGGGCGGCGTCCCGGCTTGGGGATTCCACCTGCACCAGGCCTTCCGGCCACCACCAGTTTAGAGGGATAATGACAGGGCAGCCGCTGGGCCAGTGCCCTCCCTCGGTCTACCGCAGGAAAACAAAGCCACTAGAAGCCATTGGCCACAGGAGCAGGTGAAAGGGGACACGGACCCAACCCTGCCCAGGGTGGCTTGACCGCCTTGCTCGCCGTCTCCGAGGTGGACAAAGCCCCCGAACCCAAGAAGCTGCCCCAAGCAAGCCCGCGCCTCGTCCCCAAATCTCTCGCCGCTGGAGGGAACAGAAACTCCCGACAGAGCAGGGGCGGGAGGAAAACGTGGCAGGAAGCCTCAAGAGTCCCGACCCCGGTCGTGTGACCTGCGGGGAGCCCCCAAGCCCCCTCACCACCTTAGGATCCGCCGCGGGATCCGGCTTCTGGGTTTAGTCCTCTGGGTCAGCTGACCAGGCACCTCCGCCCCGCTCTGAAGGCCGCGCGACTCGTCCTCTCACAGCCCGTACTTGGCAGACCATCCCTGGAGGCCTCGCAGGCACTCTGTGTGCTCCATTCAGCGCCCTGAGTTTTCTCTTCCTTCCCTAACCTGTTCCAAGCTCCGCCCCTCCCGCCTGGGCGGGGCTTGAAGCGGCTACGTGCGCAGGCGCAGTCCGGATGTTGCGCCCAACTTCTCGGGCTGTGAACCTCGCTGCAGTGTTCTGCGCTCGAAATTCCGGGCTGACAGACTCCCGCACACTCCTCATGTCCAAGTCGCCGCCGCCACGGGCCACCGCGGGTACCCCGGTCCAGCCTGCCACGGTGCTGGGTACCATGGAGATGGGGCGCCGCATGGACGTGTCCGCCAGCGCTGCGTCCCTGCGCGCCTTCCAGGAGCGCGGCCACACGGAGCTGGACACGGCCTTCATGTACAGCGACGGCCAGTCTGAGACCATCCTGGGCGGCCTGGGGCTCGGGCTGGGCAACACAGATTGCAGAGGTAACGGCCTCCCTTGGACTCCCTCACTCTTGCACAGTGCAGAGCTGACCCCTGCCCAGCTGCACGCCAGCTGGGCTCAGCACCTGTAGCTTTGTCCTAGTCCTGGGTTGGCAACTTCCTCTCTACTTCCTCACAGCCCTGTGAATCTCCAACTCCTCAGGTGCATCTAGCCCTGGAAAACTGGATGGTGCTTTGCTGTGGCTCCTTAGCTCCTCTGCTTCCTCCTTTGGGGGTTCCAGCTCCACAGGCCCCACCACACCCTGAGCCAGTTCTGTCTTTTCCATCTCCTTACCTCCATTGCAGCCCCTGGCAGGTGTCCCCTCACCCAGGCTCTGCGCCTCTCCACTCCACCCGACCCTGACCACCCATGCATTCTCTGAGCACCCTGTCTATCCCAGTCTTTGATCAGTCCCTAGACTTTGTTCCTTGTAGTTGGCAGTGCTTCCAGGTCTCAGGGAGAAGTGTGGGGATGCCAGGGCCCCAACTGGGGAAGTAGGGGTGGTGGAGGTGGAGGTGTTCTATGCTGGGCTTTATCATGGGGCTAGAGGAGGGAAGGCGACTAGCCCCCTAGGGAGACCAATGGGGAAGACTGGAGCACTGCTTTCTGGAGTGGGCAGAAGAGAGAGGCTCAGAAAGATGGAGTAGGGAAGGCTTAGAAAACTCTGGAGCCGAGCCTTCAAAGGTTTCCTGTAGTAGTTTGCTGTTGGGAGAGAGAAAACAAGAGAACGGGCATTAGAAGCTGGGGAATAGCTGTGCAGACTTGACTTGCACAGTGTGGGCAGGTGTGGCTCAGTGGGGGTGTGTGTGTCCTGTCCCTCCTTAGCTTGGTGCCATTGGAAGTACCAGAAGGGTCCCTGGCATGTAGTGGGGCCCCCTCTTTGCCATCCTGAGGCTCCTTCTTCCCATGCCTGTGGAGTGACCCTCTATGCATCTTCTTAGATCCACAATTTGGACAGATGGGAATGTGTCTCTCCAGTCTGCACTTACTAGTTGACCTGGCTGCATCTGGTTGATAGTGAACCTTCTGTTTCTGAAGTGGTATTTCTTCTCCAAGCCTTCCCTGCTTTTTTCTTTGAGGCCTGGAGCTCACTGGGCTAGAGATGCTGTTCACACCCGAGGCAAAGTTCACACCAAGAATGCCTGGGGGGCAATGAGGGGAGGAACTCTGGACTTCTCTCCCTTGTCCCACGTGATTGAGGACACCCCTCTGACTTGCTGAGTTAACTCAGCCAAGAGGAAAAAGTGCCAAACCCATCCACTGATCAGTCCAGACAGCTTCTAAGTTAACTCACTTCCAAGCTTCCTGAATGGCAGAACACTGTGGTGTTCTCCTGGGGGTGGTGCCTCTGCAGTGGATGTATGGATGTGCATGCTTCCTACAGTCTGGGAGGAGGAGGAGGAGGGTCTGTACTTACCTTCTGCTCAGGGTGCCCCTAACTCCAATTGATCAATACCTTGAAGAGCCAGATTCTGTCCTGGTCTCCCTGCTTCCAGGCCGCCTCCTTGAGTTCCTTCTCTATACTGCAAACACAGCGAACTTGCTGCCTGGTTCACACCTGACAAAACCTGTGAGTGATCTAATTCAGATTCACTGGGATGGTGTCTGAGAACCTTTGGGATCAGATCTGTGCCCTCTTCCCAGGTTTCCTTTACAGACTCAGAATTGGAACCGTCCAGCCTCGCATCTGTGTTTGCTTGTCTCTGTGACATTGTTTGTCCTTTCCTTGTTAGCTTAGACTACATCCTGGGGACTCAGATTGGGATCATCATCTAGAGCAGTGAGGGGGGACCTCTTAGAGCTTTCACTGGGCCACGGGTGCCATAGGTTCACCGCCTCTAGCCTAGAGCAAGCCTTACCCAGATTCCAGGGTTGGCCTCGTGCCTCTCCTAGGGGCTCCAGTAGTGCTGAGTTCATTTGTCTGCTGCACTGACCAGCAGACTGTGGGCTCCTGGAGGGCAAGGATCTAGTGTGTTCACTTTGCCTCTGCACTCTCAGTCCCTTGTGCAGGGTCTGGCACCACCAGCAGTTTGGTGACTGATGATAGTGCCTGGAACAAAAGTGAATGTTGAGAACTTCAATTTAAAACATTGTTTAATCCCTGTGACTTCTGTGTGAGGACAGTTCAATTATTGCTACCCCATTTTACAGATTAGGGAAATAAGGCTCAGGGAACTTCAGTAATTTATCAGGGTTATAAGAGACATTACTGAAAACTCCAGTTGTGGGTCTTGGTCTCCTGCGAACCAGAATGATGTCAGCAAGATAGGAAAGAGGGAACAAAAACATAGACAGAGACTCAAGAGAAGCTGGGTCTTGGGCTGATGTCAGCTGCTCTGGGCAGCAAAGACAAAGACACCAAGGATATCCAGTGTTTATTCATTACAAGCGTGGCAAGGTGGGAACCTGGGCAGCCCTTGGGACACATGCTGATAACACGTATTGTAAGCAGGACTATAGAATGAAGACACTAGCTTAACTTCTGCAGAAAAGAACAAATGGTTAATTCAGAGGAGAAGCATTGGAGTCAGTTGACCTTGGCTGGAAGTGAACTCAGCCAAGCCCTGCTACTTCTAATGTAGTATAGCTGAATTATGGAGGGGAAAGAAGCTTGTGGCACTGTAGCTAATACTAGGCAGAGGTGTCTGCTACACAGAGTCACGTGGCCAGTAAGTAGCTCTGATACTCTTATATTCTACCTCCAAGTGAAAATTGCCACCAAGGCCAACCCTTGGGATGGAAAGACACTGAAACCTGACAGCCTCCGGTCCCAGCTGGAGAAATCATTGAAGCGGCTGCAGTGTCACAGAGTGGACCTCTTTTACCTACATGCACCTGACCGTGGCACCCCCGTGGAGGAGACACTGTGCGCATGTCAGCAGCTGCACCAGGAGGTGAGGGTGGGAGGTAGTCTCTATCTGCCCTCATGCTGATGCTGCCGGGAGAGTGGAGCTGGGAAGAACCCTCTCCTGGGTCCCCACCCCAGTCTCCCCTGCTTCATTCCTGGGCTGAGCTGGTTCTCACCCGGCTTCTCCCCTACAGGGCAAGTTTGTGGAGCTTGGCCTCTCCAACTATGCAGCCTGGGAGGTGGCCGAGATCTGTACCCTGTGCAAGAAGAATGGCTGGATCCTGCCCACCGTGTACCAGGTGAGGGCTTCCTGGGGTGCCAGAGCTGCTGGGGCCTCGAGCTCCAGGGCTCTACTGATCCCAGCTCTCCTTGCCCCTCAGACGGGCCCTGTGTCCTTACACAGCAGTGTCTCCTCTTGATCCTCAGACGGGCCCTGTGTCCTTACACAGCAGTGTCTCCTCTACTAAAGCCTGTGGGTAGCTCCCAGGGGACCTCAGCATGAGGCCCAAGCTCCCAAGCCTGCCCTCCAGGCACCTGCTGGCTTCCTGCCTGAGTGTGCAGCTCTGCCTTCCTTCCATGCTCACTCTGCACTTCAGCCTGGAACACTCCTTCCCACTCCCTGTAAGAAGGGCTGAAGTGTTATTTAAGTGCTCTTCCTTGGACCCTCTCCCCACAGTCCCCTGAGGCTTCCAGTCTCTAAACCACATCTTTATGCACCCAGTGAGTCTTTATTTATTTTTTATTTTTTGAGACAGGATCTTGCTTTGTATTGCAGGCTGGTCTTGAACTCACTATATAGCCCAGGCTGGCCTTGAACTCTCACCCATCCTCCTACCTCAGCTTCCTGAGTGCTGGGATTACAGGTGTGCCACCACACCTGGCTTTATTTATTTAGTTGGTTAGTTTTTTGAGACAGGGTCCAGTTATGTAGATCAGACTGGCTTGAAGTTACTATGTCCTCAGTGAATCTTTTTGAGCCCCTACTATAATCCTAGAATCTACCTTAATTACTGTACAATTCTCTTATGTCTCTCTTTTTTTTTTCTGGACTGGGGATCAAACTCAGGACCTCATGTATGCTTGGCAAGTGCTCTCCTATTGAGCTACATCCCCAGCCTGTTTTCATTTTTTTTTTAACTATAACATCTCTTGGAGGCAAAGACTTTGCTATACTTGCAAGTGGTTGTAAATCCAGTGTCCAGCCTATAGACAGGTTCACAGTCATTTGTAGAGTAAGTCCAGGCCAGTGTTCCTTCTTGGGGCAGATACCCTTTTCCCACTCTGTACCACTCACTACAAGGAAATTTACAAATAATTGTTGATGTCCTGAGTTGGTGTGGACTTAGTTTTTGTTGTTGTTGTTGTTGTTGTTTGTGACTGGATCTTGCTCTGTAGTGCATGCTACCCTGGAACTTGGGGTGTCCTCCTGCCCCAGTCACCTCAGCGTCTGGATTACAGGCATACCCCACCGCACCTGGCTTGGATTTAGAATTGTAAAAGAGGAATGGTGAATGGCTCGGTGACATTTGATTATAATCCTACCAACTCAGGAGAGGCAGGAGAATGACTTGACCCCAGGAAGTTAAGGCTATTCTAGCTGTTGCACCCAGTGAGAGAGAACCAATGAGACTGATATTAAATCCACACAGGAGTTTATTACCTGCTGGGACCTGAGCCGAGCATTGGACTCAAGCCTCAACTGGGGGTTGACAAACATGTTTTATACACCTTTGAGGCCAACAGTTTCTAGGCCCCCCTATGGGATAGAACTAGTAAAGCAAGCAAAACATACAGAAGCAGAACATCCTGCTGTTAGAACATTTGGAAAACAATAGTTGATTAATTGTTATTTCTAAAGAGACTTTCTAAGGGGAGGAGGTTTTTAAACTTCCTCCTTCTGAGTTCATCTAAAGGGCAGGCAGGTGGATCAAGCAGCAGTGTGGTGTCTGTCTTGCTAACTAGGGTCTTTCATTCCCCACTGGTTCTTGTAACTTAGTCAAATCTTTGATTCCTGTATTTACTCTTTGAATTTTTTTTAAACATCTTTTAAAAATCTCATAATTTTGTCTCAACACCATCAGTTTAACTGTTTCAACTCTCTTTCTAACATATTTAGTCAGAGCATTTGTAAGTAAGGTCTCACAAGCAAAAGCAGAAGTAAGATAACTAGGGGGCCTGTTACAGCAAAAACTAGGGTAGTTAACCATTAGCATAGAAGCAACAGGTTTTTTTTTTTAGGGCTACATATAACCCTCCTTGTTTTGGTCTTGTTTTGTTTTTTTTTGTTTTTTGTTTTTTGGTACTGGGGATCGAACTCGGGACCTTGTGCTTACAAGACAGGCGCCGGAACCACTGATATAAATCCCCGGCCCTAACCCTCCTTGTTTTATGAACAGGAGTTCAAGTCCTCTTTGATTTTGCAGGACCATCTCAGCTAGGGAATCAACCTGGTTTTTTTAATCTGAAGATCGAGTCTTTCAGGTTACCCAAATCTCTGTCTACTTGGTGGCTTCGGGCTTTAAAATTTATGTCCTGAAGGATCAGGGAGGAAGTTCCAATAGCCGCTGACCCGGCTATTCCTAATCCCCCCAGAATGGCCACTAAAACGGGGGCAGCCCGTTTACTTCTATAGTGTTCAGTGGTTAATCCCAGATGTCCGTGGCCCCCTTTTTTATTATAATACAAGACTTGTAGAACAACATACACGGTGACACAAAATAAAGCGGCAGATTGGGTAGCCAAGACTGATTTGGGAATGTATTTAGTCAAGTCCTCGGTGCAAGGAGACCAATCATATCAGGACCAGGTCTCCTGGCTTGAAACCGTGGGGCTGGAACGTCGCAAAGGGTTTTTCTTGA